TTTCATATATGAATCACAATCACATAATTACAAATTCCTTTTCGACTGGGATAAAGAATTATTTTATTAAAAACCCACAATGAAACAAATATCGAACCTTTTGGTTTTTATTTTCATTCAGAAATACTACTTCCTTTCAAGTTTATATTTTATATAACTTCGATTTCATCTTATTAATTTCATTAATGTTTTATTTAGGTACTTGAACAAAGATTTGTTTTAATTTAAAAGTTTATGATGTACACGTGGTAAAGGTGTTTTAATATTGTATTCAGAGTTAAATACATATTTAAATATCATAAATCACAAAAGCTGATTGATGTTCCATTGATTAGAAAAGAAAATAATGAATTTCTATTTTTTACCCCTTTATGTCGCTCTGACTCTATTTTTTATCATTAAATTGGAGTGTTGATGTTCTATTTAATAAACACACGTGTAGCCAGTAAAATGAACATAAAATGACAACTTTCAGAACTAAAAGCACATAAGAAATTATCGAACACAATGGCAGTTTTCTATATAGAATGATATAAAACCTTTCATTTTGACTTGAGTTTAATTTCTTTGTGTCTAGGTTTCTGTAAACCATGTTAAAGATAGGTAACAACTTAGCACAAATATCTTAATATTTGTCCTCGATCCTCAACATTCAATTGGGGTTTGTCAAGATAAACAGTAAATAAAAAGGCTGGAATCGCTACGCCTTCCTCCATTTCCAAACCAGGTGAACCAATCATCAATTTTAATTCCGGAACACGTGCATATTGTTTTTTTTAGAATAAATAAAGAAATAATGAAATAATGAAATGATGAAATAAATAATAAATAATAAATAATAAATAATAAATGAATGAAATAAATAATGAATAATGAAATAGATAATGAAATAAATAATGAATAATGAAATAGATAATGAAATAATGAAATAAATAATGAAATAAATAATGAAATAAACAATAAATAATGAAATAAATAATGAATAATGAAATAAATAATGAAATAATGGAAGAAATAATGATATAATGAAATAATTACAAAAATAAATAAAGAAAACGACTGTATTTACAACCAATGTCCTCCCACTCTTTCGCAAATGCTTAAATAACTCCTCCGTTGTATAGTGTTTTGGAAATTCAGAAAGTGGCATGAAATATTATATCAGATAATTTCGTGCTATTTGAAATAATTACAAAGCGACCAGTTCAACACATTGGTGTTTCAAATGAAATACATACGCAGCGATTACATTTTTGATTACGATCTAGTCTATTTATAGTAATAAAACACATGCACGTGTATAATGATAGATGACACAAATGACAATGTTAAAACATTACAATCTTCAACAGATCTGACTTTATTATACCACATTTGATTGAGGTTTATTAACGATTTTTAATTAATTTATAATTTTAAACACAGATTTTACAAAGGGTTGGCGTTTACTTTGATGTGAAATAGGCATTTATTAGAGGAAAACTTGACTGAGATCAAATCCAAAGTCGAAAGTAACATTATGAATTTATAAAAAGTTTACGTAAAAAGATAGTTTTGGCGTTCTGAAAATTAACGACAGGATTTTGTGTAAGATCAATCTTACAGATACGGTTATAGAGACACATTTTTAGAATTTGGTCTATAGTTTCCGACCTACTAAAATAAACAGTTTGCCCATGAGACATGAGTACTACCGTCGAAAAGTTGAAAGTTGATTTATTACAATTTTGGGGAAAGAAGGGTTTGTTTCCCCCAAAAGTACATTTGTTAATATGAATTAAATATATATGTCTAGTTATGTGCCTCGTTTAGTTAGTTTAGTGAAAGGAAGTATTATTAGCAGTTTATCGTAGGAAGATATAACTGAACTAAATCAAAACTACCCACCTACTCTTATATTTGATGTTGATAAAATATACGAAAATCAAATTCATAAACAAGTCAGTTGAAATAATTACCTTACTTGTACCAGAATGACAACATGCTGTAAACCTTATCTCAATTTACACGTGCATCGAATTGGTTTAAAACTGTTACCTTATAAGGTTTAATCCAGAGCAATCACTACATGAATAAACATTTTATCAGAAAAATCAGATCAACCAAATCGCCTAATTGACTAACAATAAAAAATATGGTTTGCAGTCAGTTATAATTCGGCGCGTGCATGTACCAGCAATCGTAAAACTGCACGTGCATCGAGTTGTTTATCTTAAATACATCTAATTATAACACCTTTGATTTTTCAACCAGCTAATAAACACAGGCAACAAAGGTGCCCTAAGCAATATACTTATGAATGCGCGTACATGTAGATAATGTGCATGCAGCGCTGGTAAACGCCCATATCATTATACATGTATAATGTAATCTCAAAATACATGCTTGGGTAAAGATGTAATACTGCACACAGTTGCACTTAAAAGGATCGCAATTAGCAATCAACTTTCTGTACCTGATTAAAAAATGAATAAAGTTTTACGTCCTTCTTTTCTGCACCTTGCTAATGAAGACGGTGTATCTGATTAGGAACTAGGTTATAATGTAGACGAAAAACGCCATACGGTGTACAATGAGAGAAATTTAAGTGAAGTCTGTAACACATAATGCCTCGGTTTATTGTTCTCAGTGGACGCGATATTTGGAGTATTTCGATTTCCAGTCCGACGTCGAGTTATTTGTAATTTAGGCGAAATGGTATTTGGGATAGTGATGTCATAATTCATTAATTGAATCGTGGGACGAGAAGTCGGAATGATGCAAATATATGCTATTATTATCCCCTAGAAAACTCCGCTTCAATCCCTTTAAGGTAATTTGTCACCAAGCAAATCACATCAATCAACCAGTCTGATCTTTTTACTTCAAGTTTTGTACAAATCACCTGGGGTACGAAAGTAACAAGATTTTTGACAATAAAGACTTTAAAATGAGACCGAAAACACACATAACAAACACCAACATATCGAGTTTCACACACGTGTGGTGAAGAAATACAAATTAGACAGTGAACGACTTTATTTTTCTAACGTATAGCGACTAGATTAGGTTTCTAACATCCTTTGTAAGTTTACTAATACTGTTCAGATTATCCTTACTCTGTCTTTTTCACACACCCCGAATTCTAAAGCCCACAGAACCTTAGAGCGACGGGGTGGAGTGAATAATTTGTGAGCTGGGAATCCGATAGGGTTAACGACGTCTTTTGTAACGGGATAACGTTAAAGTGACGTTATGGTGACAAAGATATCCACCTTTTAACCATCGATGGATTCAAACTCTTTTTCAAAATATCATAAAGTGAGTTATTAGATGTCAAACGGCCTATCGTAAAGGCTCCCCTAGCGCTCTGTAACAATTCAGTTTTACGGAAACATCCGAGGATTGCCGAATGATAGTTGTTCCAACAAACAATTGGTTGGAAGTATTCATTCACTTTTATCTATTTATTCACTCGTTAATACATTTATTTTCACCAAGGCGGTATTATGAAGGCTGGACCAGTGGATATGAATTCGAAAGATTGTACAAGAGAAACAAAATATGAGACTTGCTTCCTTACCATTAAAGTTTTTTATAAGAGTAATTTTAATTACTATTTGCACTTTGTGACCAAGCGACGTTATAAACTAACGGAGGAAGAGCAAGGTCAATTGGATGGTTGTCAGGAAACATCAAATCGGAAACGTTTTTCTAATAAAGTTACTGTTAGCACTAAAGAAAATAGACTATCATTTTCTGTCTTTAAAAAAGTTGATTAAAAGTGAATCCGCAATTATTAACATTATCATAACAATAGACTGGTATATTATTACAATATATTAGAAATTATTTAATATTAAATAAATTATTGTGATATTAATTCCAAATCATATACTTCGTTTCATACGATACACTTTATAATTCGTGAATATTAAAACTTTATATTTCTAAATGTATAAAAACTTAAAATTATAATATTGTAATAAGCACACAACCCTGGACAATATTGTGTAAAATAAGCATTAATCAGTAAAGTATATTGTATATTTAATGAGGCTATGTTTATATCAAAGGGGCACCACTAGCTTTGGTGTTTGGCTTTGTAATGGCTCATATTATTGGTTGAAACCTTTCGAATACATAGGAGACACATTTCTCTACAATTAGGCGTTTATTTTTCTTAAATCCGTACAGTAGTTTTCTAACAGCTTCCAAAAAGCATAACGAACATTAAACTTACGTAAACTTGTTTTGGCGTTAAAAAATTAACGGCTGGCATTTTTTGGTAAAGCTTTCAAATACGTTAAAGACACATTTATCTAGATTTTGGTGTATCGTTGCAAAAGAGGCAAGCAGAATGCCACTTTAATTAAATAAAGTTTATTAAAAAGTGACTACTTAAATGTTAGGAATTAATTATTAAACATTAAAAGACCGAAAGAAATTGAAAACATACAATAAATATCATGAATTATTTGATGAAATATGACTTAAACAAAGCGTTGAATATTATTACAATATATATTTATCAATATGTTTCAATTTAACTTTGTCAGAGGAAGGACACAAAAAAAAACTTTCGGAAGTTGCGCGGAGACTCAGTGAGCGGGGTGCTTGCTCAGGGTTTTATCCCTGACATATGTTTAGGTAATACCTGTGGTCGTTGGATATTTCAACGGGAATTCAACTGTCAGTGATGCAGGTAAGAGGGGCTGACATGGAAAAAGTGTCTAGTCCTTAGGATGGAACAACAAACCGAGGACCCGTGTGCTACAGGCTGGCAACATCACATTCAGAACATTCCAAATAACCATTCCTTGTGTTTGAGTATAAGAAAGTAAGGCACACAATAGTGTGCCAAACTTTTCATTTATCAGCAGGAAGGTTTATTTGGCTGAATTTACCAGCACCAAGAGTCTTTTGATTAAAATCCATGTTCTCCTCTTGAACATGCGCTTTGCAATAAATATAAAGAATGGCTATAAATAAAACTACACCAATTCTAATTATTAAAAATTTTATTTTATTTTTGACTGAATAAACTCAGAGATAGGTCTGACTCTGAGAACCTCTACCTTGTTCCCATCAATCCAACAAGTAATGTCCACTACATCTACAGTAAAAGCATACAGCTGGCCATGAGGATTCTGTTTTCGGTAAATTGACCTGGGGTCATTTTCTAACACTATTTGAATAGAATTTCTTAATTCTGTAGAGTCCACAAGATATTTCAACCTGAATTTCTCTGAACTGGCATCCTTAGAAAAACTGTTCATTTGATTTAAGGAATTTTCTGTAAAGTGAACAGTGAGTTTGTCATGTCTTTTACTATCTAACCATTTAGCTGTTTTAATTGTGGTCTGATTATTTAAGATTGAAGGAGTTACCTCCTCCTCACAGTCAACTACTTCATGTGCTTCTAAAGAATCTCTTTCACTGTGACATTGGCAGTTACACTTTGTTTGAGGATCTATGTCTTCTGAAGACTGAGTTTGAGTTTGTACATTATAAGTTAGGACTTCTTTCATTAAATCTTTAGAGCTCTGCTCATTTTCACACTGGGAACTGGCAACTGTTTTTTCACCTGTATTTGGATTCAAAATATTTTGACATACTTCAGTCTGTTCTACGGCATTCTCTGGGTTGTTTAAAATAACATTTGCCTCCAACTGTGGCTGCAAAACAGAGCTTGCCAGTTCATTCAATCCATCAGGTTGGCGTAGGATATTTTCATGATTAGACACATCATTTCCAGACTGGTGTAAGATATTTTCAGGTTGATGTAGGTTAGGGTTATCATAGTCTGGTATATAAGGTTTAATATCTACTATTGGTGTACCATCTAATATATCAATACCAGATACATAGAGTGTGTCATCTGAAATATGATAAACACATTTATTTTAAAGGGAAACTGTCTGAAATCATAGAGCCTAAACTTTTACTGAACAGCTGTCCTCTTAACCAAGAATGAGATATAGTAGCCAAAATATTTGCTCAATCAGTTTTTAGCTAAATGTATCCCTTGTTAGAATTTAAACCTGATGTCATGTTCTTCTACAATTCAAGGCCTATGGAGGTAAAACTGTTGTTTTTTAAGAAATTATTACTGCTGATATGGCATTAGGAATTATTGATATTAACTTGGAAATTTAGACAAAGCCTTCAATTCAATTATTACACCCACCTTTGACCTCGTCCAGTTTAGCCAGTGTAAGACCAATGGGATTAAATCTATAAGGTGAACGTGTGGCGAATATCCCCAGCTTTTCTCCTCCCAATCGCGGAGGCCGAACTTTAGCTCGATTAAATGTACTGTTATTTTGATTGAAAATGAACAGTATCCTGAAATATTGGAGAATAATAATTTAATTTTAATGTCTTTCTGAGATTAGATATCAGCATGGATAGGATCCATGATATCACAGGAAGAAAGACAATTTAGCAGCAGGTGGAGGGAAATAACTCCATTTAACTAATTGTGTTTCTATTGGATCAGACAACAATCGATTGTTATCAACCCATAAAAGCATTAAATAAAAAAAGTCTGATCATCAGCTTTCTGACTTACCAAACATGTGAGTATTCTTGTAAACCCTCTAAACTATGATGTGGATTGTTATAAACTGTTTTATCTATAGTAATACTGCCCCGAGCCTGGGGACAAATAAAAGATTGTCTTGGTGTACCATTTTTAAACTGGAATACTGATCTCATAAAACCTATAGCTTTCATCTCCATCATTACTCCTGAAAATATCAAATCAATATGAAAATTAGTGGATGAATATAGCATTAGATCATGAACAACAAAATAAGCAGCTTGCCAAATACTTTCATGTCTCTTCAACATTAAATATCAAACATGTGATGTGATTTATTTGTACCTTTAATTCAGTTCAAAACAATACCCTAACATAATTTGCTAGTTCATTTCATGACATAAAACACAATAAACATTCTGCAGATTCTACAGTACCTTGAAATGTTTTCTGTTTGAGAATAGTTTTAGACAGTCTGCTCATGACATAGAATACCACTGTTGTAATGATTGATCTGAAATATAATTGATTTGTACATTAATGGGTAGCCTAATAACTTTTGGTAAAGTGTCCAGTGATGGAAATTATATTATCAAGTAGTGTCAATTCATCTACCATACCATATGTTCAGAGCAATATTTCTAAGTCAACAAGTAGAATGTTGGGTGATTTTAATTACCAAAACAAACACTCTTTCACTCGTTAAGTAGGAAGACTTTTCATAATTTCAAAGGAGGCTACAGCCAAGCCCCAGCCCACCCACAGAGTGCCCTGACTTCCTATTCATGATCTATTTTTTTTACAAGAAGTTTTTGTCATCAGCATTACATGTGTGACAGCAACTAGAGGTCTAACGTTACACTCAAACCTTCACTTGCTCCTTGTTGCTCTGATATATTTTGTGAATTTGAAGTGAAATTGTGGAAAAATCTAAAAATATGCAATATTCACTTTGTACTCGCTTTAGACTCTACTTTTAACTCGCCGATTAAGAGTAATCTTTCCTTAGTAAATGAATTAATCAAAAAACGAATTAATGCATCAGGTTATTCTTAAGCAATCGTATTGTTCTTTTTAAACAATATTCAACAACGTAGAATTAACCATTACAAAATAAAGCAGTATTTAATTGTTCGTTTGATCAAAATTCCTTCTAAAAATGAAATAAATACTTCGTTTATGGCGAGGCTTTTGTACGGTGCACAACGGAAATAGCGAATGTTTACACATAACAACAATCTTTTTATGGTATTTCTTGTATTCTTTTTTGTGTATTTATGGTAAAGTTTCCACCTACTTTGTGTAACAATGCGTTTTCATATGTTTCTGAAGGCATTATCACAATAATCATGATTTGTTTCTCATGAAAATCGATTTAGTAGTTTTTTTTGCAAGTTGCCAAGCTAAACAACATGGCCGACCATATTCACTTGTTTCATCTCGAGAGAAAATGAAAATGAATCAACTCAAAGAAAATGTCAACTAGGGCATGAAATTTTATAACTTAATTCTGCAACTTAATCATTGCTCTGAAGGTCCTGTGGTAAATTAATTGCATGCTTAGAATTGGCACATATGTCATACAGGACAAATTTCCTGATCATCATCATAAAGTTTTTACAAAACATAAGACTTATTCTCCTTTTTTCCAGATGTAGTTTTAACTGGTGAGATTTCAATGTAAATAACTCCTTGACCAAACAAAGCAACAAGATGCCGTCCTATAAATTTGAAAGCCCCATTAGGGGTTTGATATCAGTCAAGGAGGAGATCAAACTGCCCAAATATCAACCTTCATCAGTGGGAGAACAACCTGTCAAATCTGATGATATGTATTCTATAAAATGGCCGTCTTATAACAATGTAAGTATGAAATTTTATCAGTTTTTATCAGCTTAAGTTGTTGAAGTTTTGTATTTTTAATGGTATTTTAATCGACATAAAGTATGCAAAGGATTTGGGAAGAGACAGAACGTACATGAATACAAGATTTATTTGTTTTAATTGTCTTTCAGAACGATGTAGAAAAGAGAATTGAGAATGTTTTGGGTCCGTTGTCATTGTTTGCTCCTTTTCCTCATGAAGATGGTAAGAACTGCTTTTCCAAATAGACTTTTCCTTTTAACTTTGAATGAATCTTTGTGACTCTTAGTTTAACTGAGCTAACCAAGCTGAACAGTGGGGTTTTCTAGAATAAAGTTATAACCAAATTAAATTTATAAAACAAGGATTACCCGTTAACAAATTATAATTGATATGATTGTCTATTTTAGAGCCAGAATATGAAGAAATTGAACTTGAGAGACCTGTCACTCCTATTAATGTAAGTTCTTTGTTAAAACAATATTTTGAAGAGTATCCATTTTTGCATTCCCTGAATATCATACTATATCTAATTCACTTAAAAAAGATTTGGTAAGATCTTTGAATATAAAAATAAAAGAAGAAAGAATGAAAGAGTGACATTTTAGTTTTTGTCAGACATGAGAGCCTATTATGTTCAATTCAGCTTGTAACCTTGATACCTTATCAATTTACAGGAGGAGATCAAGGTTCAACCATACTCATTTGAGAAATTGGCCAAGTATTTAAGGAGAAGAATAGCAGTCAAATCTGATGTTTCTTATCTCTCTGTTGAAGATCAAAAAGATCTGGTAAGTTTATTGGTTTTAAAAACCTTTATGTTATAATGGACAGACTCTTGGAGTTTTGAGGATTTTTTGCATTGAATCACCCCACAAGCTTGAAATCACCTGCCAGTCATGAATTTTCATCCAATAGCAAATTTTAGTCTTCTTCTCAAATTTTCCCAGAGTGTTAAAATTAACGGATATGTAACTTAGCATAATTATTTTTTCTTACAGTCAGCTATAATCATGGCAGAAGTCAGTAATATTTGGCCTGATATCAGGAGACAGATAGATGATCCATTCTTGGTAAGTCTCTGTGTATTCTTTGTAGCAGTGTTTTAGAAGGTTAAACTCGAATAGAAAATAAACTCATAGATAAGATACAAAACTTTTACTAAGACAAGAACTAAAGTTGGTTTACTTAATTTTTATTTTTTTGTAATTTTATAGGGAAATTTGATGTTTAATGATATTTTCAGACTCCAGAAGAAAATAAGGAGTTAAACAGAAGAATAGCTGTACATATAGTAACAGTAGCTGAGAAACTCTTTCAACATTATATACAAAAAGCTAAAGGTATAAGATTTAGATCATATCTTTTTCAATAATTTTCAGTCACAATTCATAAGTTTATGCCCCTTTCTTTCATCATTAGTTTATCACATGTATTTTCTAATTGCCTTTATATATTAAAGCATTGTCATAGATTACAAGTTTTACCTTCATTTTGCACAAAATTCTTGTTTTTTGCATGCAAATTTTGACTTTTTTTTTGTTGTATTATAGTTTTAAATGAAAGAGGTGTATTTAGTGGACCAGCCAATATGAGTAGATTAAAGGCGCAGTTAGCTCTCGATTCCAATAAATTGTAAGTTTATCAACATTTTTCAGATGATTCGGTCTATATTTTACATTTAATGACATAAACTAAAAATCTTTGTAGCGAAATGGTGCCGGTAGTGAATATTGTGATATCATCTAGACCTTTGAACATACAGCCCTATTCTATATACAGCCCTATTCTATATACAGCCCTATTCTATATACAGCCCTATTCTATATACAGCCCTATTCTATAGATTGTACAAGTTCAGCATTGTAAATAAAAAAGGTACGCGAATTCTGCTTTCCTTTAATGTACCTATTTGCAAACTGTTTTAGGTCATTCTTCATTATTCCAATCAGTTCTCGTAAAATAGGATGTAAAACTCCATTTCAATATGTCCATTTCAGTTTTAATATTTTGATGATAAGGCGTTACATAGTAAAAGATATACGAGGGGCGAATGGAGATGACGAGTCCCCACGAAATGGTGAAGTCTCATTTTTAACCAGTGCTCGTACAGGGCATGCACCTACTACAACTGTACCCCCAGAGGGCAGACTGACCTATCAAGGAATGGTAGGTTATTGTTTTATTATTGTGCTGACTCGTGAAGCAGTCAAGTTAGATGTCTGCAACTTGTACTCTGTGTAAATCACAGCGTTTCCCTCAAAGCTGGGTTTTAACCTATCTTTTTGAGACAGTTGAATAGCCCATTCTATTTGAGTAGCAATAAGGTGCCTAAGGTTTGAATCTTTTGAAGGTAATAACAGTTCTGATATCAATGCCTGCTTCTAAGAGTTGGTGCAGTGTCCGTGTCATTCAAATGACTGATTTTCTTACCTATTGCAGATAAATCACAGTCGTCCAAAATCTAAATTAAAGAAACATAAAGTACAGTCTGTAGATCAACAAGTTAAAGAGGTGACTAGAGTTTTTATTTTTTTTTTTCAAATGTTAAATGATGTAAGCAAGCCATAAGGGGAGTGAAGCCACGTGCGTATCACCTTTTGTCGTTTTTAAGGCTTCTCTAATGAATATGTAATAGGTCATTTGAATACAATGATATAATGATCATCTGCTCATATATAAAACCAAAAAGCTGGGAGTTGTTATGTTGTTTCACCAGCCGCTCAGAATTATATCACCAACTATGTAGCCAGAGTAAACAGGTATTTTTTATTCAGATGACATCATGTATGCCTAGTTTAGATACTAGAAAATTGTTGGATTTGGTAGCTGATTTGCCTGAAAGAGGTTTAACCACACCGTCTGAAGGTAAGTTCTGACTTCTGTAACCTAATACCTGATATATTCTGAATGTTAGAAATGACTATCTGGAATGGACTTGATTCTGAAAAAAATAAATTAATCTTGATTTTGTTATTAGTACAAAATTAGACATATTTTTTTTAATATTGTTTCTCAGAAGTATTACATAATTGTTTTTTTTTTTAAATTAAAATTTTTTGGTATTTTTTATCTGTTGTAGATAATAGAGAAGCTCCTAGTCGTATTTCAGAAACTGAGTCCAGAGCATCTTAGTAAGTATATCTATCAGAAAAATGAAGTCATATCTTATAAGACAACAATTTCTAAAATATTAGTTTTTGTTACAACATGTAGCAATTGATTATAAAATCTGTATATCTAGTATTCTAAAATGACAAAATATTTTAAATTTTTAGCCAAAGTTTAGAAGAAATCTCAAGGAAGAGAATTTTGCAGAAAGTAAGTAGACATTTTAATGATATTCTTTGGGATACACAGCATACTTTGGTCTGCCATCTGTAGTTGAATAAAGAATAAAGCTGTGGTAAAATATACATTGCTAATGAAGGAATGAAAAGGTATTAATGCAGATGAAGATCTGAGTTAAAACATAGAAAATAAAAGCCTACAAGCATGACTTTATAGTTTCAATTACTGTTTATTCTAACAAAAAAATATTAGACCGCTTCCTTGTTTGAATTATGTGCTTGTGTGCATTATTCACTTCTATTATCCAAACACTAATTGAACCAAATTGATACTGTAGAGAAGTGAGTCAATGGGTAACATAATGGCCGCCAGTGAGACTCTGTTAGAAGAGATGGGTTTTAACGCTGATCAGATTCGAACTGATCAATTATTACAGAGTGAACTAGATATACTGGAGAGAGAAAAAGTTTTGTTAAAAAAGGTTTGTAACTGAGAAATAATCAATATCTTTTCAATATAAAATGAGCACTGTCTCTAAGTAAAAGAGACCAAAAGTCGACACCAAAAGCACTTGCTGTGGCATCAGAACCAATATCCAACGCTTTGATGACCCTTGGAAGTACTGGCTAGGCAACAGAAAAATGTAGAAAAAATGTCTTGATTGCTAACATAGCATTTGGCTTTAAAAAAATTGATAAATATATTTGATTCTATTTGTAGAAGGGTGTTGTAACGGTAAAAAAAGAAATAAAACCTGGAACAAGAGAATATATAACAAACGATCTTCAACAATTAATATCTAAACCTGAACAGACGGACGAAACAGTCGATGAAGAATTACCTCCCTTGCTTCAGGTAATTTCAGTATTCATCTAGCGAAACTATGGTTTTCAATGACTTAGCACAGAGAAATGTGTCCCTTACCTTAGCTGAAAGTTTGAACTAATTGTATCTTGCTGTTAACTTATAGAACACTAAAACTGTAAAAAAATATTTCTCCTACTTATTCTGAATGTTTCAACTCAAAATACCGAGTTGTGTTCAGTTTAAATGGCTTCACCTTAACATTTTGATTATAGGCAATAACCAGAAATGCTCGTCATGATGATGTAAAAGTTCGAATGGAGAAAAAAATGAAGGAATTGGAAGAGGAGGAGAGAAAAAGAAAGGAAGATGAAACGTAAGTAGTTTATCATCTCCGTCACATTTATGGGGTGGTTTTTTTTTTTATTTTGTCTATATTCAAAGAGATAGAGACTTTCATATTTCAAAAGGATATCAACTTTGTTCATGATAGTTTCAAAAGCAAAATCAAAGATTCATATATCTTCGAAAGAGAACACACAAAGGAAATGCTACCCATTTACAACCGTAGGAAACGACCAATGAATGTTTTATCCTATTTATTTCAGGATTGTAATCAGAAAACCAACTCAACCTCAACCTGCAACAATCAGTTCTAAAATCTCAGATAAGGTACACATAGGTTTCTTTGTGATCATTATTGTAAATAGGAGGAATCAGCTAAGCCCTCTTTGTTAGAAATAAAAAGCGTACATGGCTTGGGTTGGATGAGTGGTTAGAGTTTGTGCATCACAAGATACTCATATTAATGTCTTCAGTGGCTCTGCAGTTTTTATTTCAAAACCAAAAGAACACATTAAAAACAAAACGGTTTTATTTTGTAGTTAATGGTAAAAACAAGTGATGTACGAGTTTCAGAGAGAGTTTGTATGTCATCGATAGTACTGGATAAATATTCTACTGTCTATAATGACTTACTGGAAGAGGTGAGATATTAACTTAGATATTTTGAAGGAGATTTTGGAAACCATAGGAAAGTTTCTGGCAGTAGAATAACAAAGCAAGTTGGATTGTTTTCTGCTAACCAATAAGGCGATTAGGTGGGTTCAAATCCTCATTCAACATTCTGATGCCAAGGCCAGGGCTTCTGGGAGTCGACCTGTTGTTGAGGGTAATTTATTCCATTTCTTTCTTTCAGATTGATCCAGCCGCCATCATATCTCTGGATAAGAATTTATTTTTGAGTGAGGAGATCCGTGAAGTTTATAAAGAGATTAATAAAACTATTCCCAATGATCACCTGACACTAGATGCTGTATGTTATATTAATTATTCTAGATAGGAGATAGAGAGAAGGGGCACAGGAAAGATATAGCATTTTTGGGAAATGGTAGCTTGATAATTTGTCACCTTCAGATCAGGAGAATTACTCCAATGTACCTAAATGAGGTTCCTTGTTGATTAGGTGGTGAAGGTATAAAAACCCATGAAGATAAGCACAATTCCTAATTCCCGGGCCAATACTTTTGGACATCAATTCAATGTCTATTTTTAACCTTTAACCGAAATTTTTGTTTTGCAGGACGCCATGTTTATGAATGGAGCAGAGAATATAAATTTTACAGGAACCATGGCATCAGCCTCCTTGCAGAAAAAACCTAGTGAACGAGTCATTAATCCTAAGTTCACAAAAGATAGTAAAGCACCTTGGGGTACAGCTGATCCTAAAACCTGGGCCAATATGTAAGTTTCTCTTGTACATTTGCTTAAGTGATTTTGTAATCAATTTTGTAGCTTCATTCAAACAAACTATTTTTAGGTATTTGATCTCTTTCACTGATATAGGAAAAGATATGGTATCAGTCTTGCTTATTTCAAATGTGTGCAAACTGTATTTGATCATTTACCTCCCCTGCATGGGTTGGTCACATGCTGTTATTTGTGTAAACCCTGATTCTTACTGATCAATTTCTAACATCTTTATTTGAAGACTTTTCCCTTTACTTAACTAAAATACTAACAAAAATATAAATGTTGTTTTACAGACCAGAAGGATTTGAACAATATAAAAACAGTTATAAAGAAGAAGATTCAAAGGTTGGTTTGTTAGTTCAGTATCTTTTCATCTTTCTTTTGAAAATCTTAATTTAACTACCGGTACTCATGATAACTACTATTGAGCTATTTCTGAAGAATATGATCAAAACAAAAGCTTTATTTTCAGTCAATTATTGCTTTCAAGTATCAAGGAAATTAGTAACAGACTTTTTATTTTGAGTTAAACTGCTTTAAAAACACCTGTTGTCAGTTTTTGTAAAACTATAAAACAATAACTTTTTGTCTCCCCTTAGTAATCTTTTATTGAGATGACTTATTGAGTAACAGGATTGTTCAAATGATTTCGTTTCTGTTTACAGAAACCCAATATGAACAACACCAACTTCACGATGACTAATACCAATCCTACGAACCCTACGTCAACTAGTAACCTGACAGAGTTACCTCCCGGTACAAACCAAAAAATATCGTCCTGGTTAACATGGTGGAAAAATACTGTTACTAGTGACGATTATATGAAATATCTTTCTACACAGGTTAGTTTGCTGACATGATTTTAGTTATGGATGCTTCTGAGGGTCAGCCAGTATGGCTTGCATCCCCTGTCCCCTTTTGTGATATATAATTATAGCCCTAAAGGGTTCCTAGAGTCAGTGAGTGTCCCTTCCCTATCTCAGCTTCTGCCATACCTACCTACCATGTAACAAAATGACAATGATCTCTGCTGAGAAGCTGTTTCTCTACAGAGGCTTTCTTTTTCAGAAAAGTAAACAAATGGATCTTCTCAGAAAAGAGTGAACGTAACCTTTGAATCGTACAATTATATTTCAGGAAACAGACTATCTGGGAGCTCTCTACCATTTCTACGATTCTGATGATGAAGATGATGTAGATGGCATGCCAGGTCAGAGTCATAGAGGACCAATGTCAAGGTCATCATTCCATAGTAAATATTACCCGGTAGAATCCAAGTAAGTCTTTTATCAAGGTTTCTTAAAAAGGTGCACATTGATTCTAATCTTGGTTGGCGTGTGGAAATATTGGGTCCTTGAAAAAGTCATTTGTCCTTTCCAGTAGACTCAGCTGTAAATGGGTGAGGATTGTCCAGGAAAGTATAATGAGGTTTGGCCAAGGACCAGCTAGTAGAAAGCATCTTTATGAAAAATTGTTCTTTTTTTTTTTGCTTTTTCTCTCTTAAGCTTCATAATCAAAATGTGTTAGGGTTTTTTTTAATTTTTAGAGAGCGTCAAGAGAAGCGTAAAGAATTACAGAAAGAAAAAGAAGAATATAACTCAGGTTATTGGAATGTTAAAACTGTTTTACTAGGAGGGTTGGGTAGAGACCCTCTTCTAGATGGTATGAATTAATTATATTTTTTTTCAAAAGACAAATTTGCAGGATCCAGACAGATCTCTCATTGTGTTTCAAAATTGATCTAAAAAAAAAAAATTTTTCAATTTTTTATGGTCCTGAGACCTTTTCTATATTTCTATACTTTATCTTACAATATTTATGTGCACATGTAGAATGGTTTGCATTTGTTTCTTGATTATCCTAAAAAAAAGATTTTTTAAAAAGAATCTGTTGGTTATCTTCTGTTAAAACATTCTGAAATTTGAATTATTTATAGAAAATACGGAAGAGAAAGAGGTAGTAAAAGAGAAACCCCAATCAGCTAAAACTTTATCAGAACGAGCAGCAGCGGCTCGACAAGCTAAAGCCTCAGTTGGACATTCCAGGTTAGTATTAAATTATATGGATATACAACTTCAATGGTTTATTACGTACTACGTTTCGAAACACATACAGGTAATGTTATCAAGTAAAATGATTAACAACCAAAAAACACAGATATTCCAGGTTAGTATCTTGTACAGCCATAGCAATAAAAAAACAGGTTGTAAAAAGGTTTTCTAAACTTCTTATGTGTATTGGGAACACTGATAGCATCAATTTGTCTCGTTCCAGTTGGACAGTCTCGGTTAGTGTAACAACAGCATAATAAAAACAGTTGGCAAAAAGTTTTTCTGAAAAAAATTCTCTGTATCTGGGATACTTATAGAATTGATTTATACTGTTCCCACTGTGGTTCTTGCAATTCCACCAAAACTAAGATTTATGACTTCATTATTGCTTCATCTTTATTTCAGAGGCCCATCAGCTTTCTCCAAATCTACTGTATCTCCAGAACTAGGTAAAATGTCTCCAGTAAGTTCTAGTCTTAAGTTTTATCTGTATTTTAAACTTTCCGCGTTGGACAAATTAGAATTTCTTTGATTTGGCTCATCTGATATTGCAAATACATCATCCTTCATCAGAGCAGCTTGTTTTGGAGTTAAGTTTCCATATGAGCAAAGCATGCAAACTTTCTGAAATGGGAGAAATTTTTCGGAAAATCCACAGAAAACTCTGTTTTTGCCAATTTGAATTTATGACACCACCCAATCTCTGACTACTAAATAAAATAATTGATATATTCTATGTTTTAGATTAAAGAAGTGAGTCCACAAGACAGACTAGAGAAAGTGTGGACGGCTCTCTTAATGCCTGATAATTTAAAACTAGACATGGCCATTAAATACAGCTGTAACAAATTCTTTCTGAAGTTACCTGAGGTAGGAAATAGGGACTGTTTTTCAATGATGGATTTAAAATTTTGCTTTTTAGAAGGGAGCTTGAAATTTCTTCCACCTATGATTACAGAACTGCCTTGTCATGTCATGTATTGATACACTTGACCTGTCTTGGGCATCCAGGGGCTGTCTAAGGAGATGCCATGGCTCTGTTGCTAAACTGAATGTCCAGGCCTTAGGGTCACAAACGTAGGCATAGGTCCAGATAAAACTTTCAGATATTTCAACCCAGTTTCCCCCTTTCTGTGATGCAGGTTGGAAGAATGACATGGAAAAGTGTCAAGCCTTTTCAATAAGGAAAAGTTCTTAGAAAAAGAAGAATGTATGTAAATATTAATATGAATGAATTGTGAATTTTTTCAGGCTATAGACCATTGGGAACATGTGACAGAATCGATTTTAAAACGAGAAACTTTGATAGAAAAATTAGAGAAATTTGAAAGAAAGGCTTCAGATCCTAATAGATTTTTTGAGAAAGGTAAGATATTCTATCTGTTAATTCGATTTGATATGTTTTAAATCTTTGAAATTGTTAAAACTAATGTTTACTATTCTCATTCTTACTTTAAAACAATGAGATGAAATGAAATTCATTTCTTCAGAGGAAAAAACCTGTCCTGGCCAATAAAAACTACTCAGATATCTTCATATTTCAGTCAAATACGACTGAAATATACGCACTGATGGAGAAGAATCTTAGATGTTGTTATATTCTTCATCCCTTGACTGTCCTCTAAGCTAATTTTGTATTATCTGTTTTTGACAGGTCACGGTGGAAGTTCAGTCAAACGTTTAGAAGAAGCTAAAAACAGAAGTTTCTTTTATAAGGTGAGGTTCATTTGAAATCCTCTCACATTTTGTTTCTATGAGACTACAGCTCATCTCAGGCCATCAACACCTATCAGGACTAGTTTCAAAATGGGTGCTCACTTACCAAATTTGAGCAAGTAAACCAACTCACTTATTGTCTTACAAGCACAAAAAAACCTATATAAATTGTAGATTGATGTAGCTTGTAGGTTTTATTGAATAAAAAGGCCTAGATGTAGCTGGCTTTCATTTCATTGAAACAATACTGATAAATAAAAATTATTCACTTTTTTCTTTTCTTGTAGAAAATTGATCAAATAGAGGGTGATATTACCAAAGAATTGGACAGCATTAGAAATAAATTCCAGGATGAAATCACATATGGGGTAAGACAGAGAGGATTTTTTTTAAACTACAGGATAACTGCAGTAGCCTACTCGCGTTGATTCCACGCTATCAAGAAATTTTAAATGTGAATTATCTGTAACAAACAAGGGCTCCGTTTGTTTTGTCATTCGAAACAAAAAATTTGAGGTATTCATTTGTTTCTGTATTTCAGGGTCGTTTATATGTTGATAAAATGAAATGGGATCGTATTGAAATGTTATACTGGTTACAAGAAGAACGGAAAGAACATGGTATAAAATATGAAGCTGCTATCAGAGAATTACCTTTAAAACTGGTCCAGTTAGAACCCTTACATTCAACTTAAAATAGTGGTGTTGGTCTTATATACTATAATAATATAGAGCTTCTAGATTTCTACAGATGTTTGTGATGATTTTCAGAAATATACCATTAACTTTATATCTTCTCAGCTAAATTGAGGAAAAAAGTGATCGAGAATGGCGTAACATTTGTTCAGTTTTCACTATTGGACAATATGATTGTGTCTTTAAGATGTGTGAATGGAATAAACACTTAATTTTGTATATAAGAGTTTGAAATCTGATCTTGTGGTCACTTTGTTAATATTGGTAGGGTTTTGCCAACCATGTCCTGGTAGGTGTCCTAATTATACAGCTCTGAGATCTGTTCAGGATACTTGGATGATGTTAAGCTTGAGTGCAACGTCCGCAGCAGGTTTCCCATGAAGCAAGTGCTCTGAATTGTAAAATATATTTTAATATTTAGATTTCTGTGATTATTCTGTGATAACTTGAACCAACCAGCATTATTTTTAGTATATTTGTTATAGTAAGTTTGTTATCTATTTTAATATATAATATTTATATTCTGTGATTTATTATACTGCTGTCTTATTAACTGCTGTTGAAAAAAAAACATAATTTTGGTCCAAGAATAAAATATTTTCACTGTTAAAATAGTGCTCAATACATCAATTATAGAGCAATATAGAAATACCACTGTTAAAATATTGCTCAATACATCAATTATAGAGCAATATAGAAATACCACTGTTAAAATATTGCTCAATACATCAATTATAGAGCGAGAAAGAAATACCACTGTTAAAATATTGCTCAATACATCAATTGTAGAGCGATATAGAAATACCACTGTTAAAATAGTGCTCAATACATCAATTGTAGGGCGATATAGAAATACCACTGTTAAAATAGTGCTCAATACATCAATTGTAGAGCGATATAGAAATACCACTGTTAAAATAGTGCTCAATACATCAATTGTAGAGCGAGATAGAAATACTATAACAGAACCTGTTGTTACTCAGGTTCACGCGATGCATTCTTCAGACAACTGACCTGTGTTCCTACTGATACATATAAGAATTAGATTAGTAATAAATAATTCATTACTCTTTATTTAAACACTTTCATTCTTTATATAAATTGAGAGAATTCACTACACGCGTAACTAAAGTATTCTTTGCCAAGACATTTCTCAATTTAACATCAATATTTAGTTCATGGCTATATTAGTTTAGGTGTATTTTACTATGAATTTGCACAAAAGGGCCATGACTTTTCCAATTAATTCCAGTTTTCTTCTTTCTTTCCACATAAAACAACGTACAGAGATGTGCTAAAAATTCATACAAAATTTCTTTTATTTCAAAATGTTCACACATCAAAGTCTCCACTTTGTTTGGCTGGCTCTTCTTCCCCCCCTTCATTTACATCCTCTGGGACGGGCAACCCTTCACGTCCGATATGCACAGGTTCGACTTCAATCATCTCAATATAGGATAACGGCAGGGTGGGTTTCATGTTGATTCCTCGGTTCTGTGTTTTCCTTAATAAAACTTTCAGAATCAATTCACAAACATTGTCGTTAAGACCAATAACTTTTCCGTCCTCCACTTTCTCATATAGATTCTGTTCCTTCTTATGCCAACAGATATTCTGGTAGGGATTACAATTGTTCTGTTTCCCTAGTTCAATGGTGTTAAGTTGATAAGCGTAAAACGAGAATGCTTTGCCGTCTGTAAGGACAGTTTGTGTTGCTAAGGGATAAGTGATGTCACATAAATGGTGAAAACCTGGAAAAAAAATTAATTAAAACTTGCTGATGATTCAGTTAAATTTTATGTGCATTCTAAGAGGAAAAATACCTTTAAAAATATTCAACTAATCAAATGCTCTGTTTACTCTGTTTGCGCTCAATTGGGAAGTTCTGAACAGCTTCCATCAGTTTCAATTCTGCCCCAAATCGAAGCGGAATAATGTCACATAATTTGCCTATCTATTTCCTTTTCTATCCCATATTGAATAATCAGCACCTATTATCTTTTTGGTATAAGGAATGTGTTCTGAATTCTCTTGTTTCATTGAACGTCCAGTTGATTCCATAAGTCTTGAACATCCAGACCTCACCAATCGAACGACCCATCTGAGTGTCGCAAGTAACTAAAGGGTACAAACTGTACAAAGGATGGCTTACCTTGATAATATGCTTGTCCTAACAGCCAAGTGAAGGAATTGGCCACAGCGAACCCTAATTTCATATCTTCTATCACTTCAGAGCTAAATTTCCTCAAATTAGAATTTGATATCGTACTATTTTTGAAACTGACTAAACCAAATTCACACGGATCACCACAATGAAAACCTAAAATATACATAATAATCATTCAGAAATAATAAAACAAAACCTAAAAACATGTTGTTACTCAGAGTTTCACGCTATACGATCATCAGACAACTGACCGATTTTCAGCCTGCTTCCCGACTGAAGTTAGACAAGTAGAACTTATTCTCATGTCTCATAATCATTCAAAATACAGAATTTAACAGAATCTAGATATTTACTTAATGATCTAAATTCTGATATAGCATAACTTCCTCTATTGGGTTAATGTAAAAACCACTTCACATTATTAATATAAATAAATATATAAGCTTTATTGGCCTTGTCATATTTTTATAAAGTCATCACAAACTTTCCTTTATTGAGTGATTAGGTGACAGGACATTAATCATACCTGGTGTGACATCTCTATCTGTTTCCCATAACAATAACGGTATACCAAAACCTGTAGTAAAATATGGTATTGAAGGAAAATCTTCATTTTGACACAATGCATCAGCAAATGGTACAAACTGAAAAAAAGTAAATGCATATCCATTTAAAATGATGGGAAGGTGGTATGCCAAATACATGGCTGACTGAAGAAGGGCCATAAATTTTAGAAATTCATTTTATTACTGCAAGCCCAAGCAGCAAAATACTAAATGAAAAATTTTTTTTTTTAATCTCATAGCATGAAATAATTGTACAAATTGTAGCCCTGCAAAGTGTTAAAAGCATTTGTTGGTATATATATATAATATAGATCACAAAAAGCAATTCTGGGTTGACAAAACCAATTTGAAGAATGCCTCTTGGCCATATGTTCCAGAATGTTAAATATGCTCTGCCTTGCCATTAACACCAGTAGTTAACCTTATAGTAAACCTAATAAAGCTATTTTTACCTCCGGCAGAGGGAATTCCGTTCGTATTTGATAATCATTGATATAACTAGCATGAATCCAATCTTGAATGATAACTTTATCATGATCTTTATTATACTTTCCTCCAGCGTTATCTAACTGATATTGTCTATCCCAGAATGCCTTGACTTCAATATCTTCATCAACTCGTGCCATGATCAAATCAGAATTGTGCTTAAACAATGTTGGAATGAGACGATTCAACATATTTTTTACAAATGTCATATCTCTAATCATCTTATGGTCTTCAAGTCTACGACTGCGAAATTGTCTAAATCGATGTAGTTTATCGTATTCCAATAACAACTCCTCTTCAATTAACGCTCTGGTTTGTTTTAGAAGCTCAGGATCCAATTTGACTTGGTTATAAATTTCAGGTAACCCAGCGATCGTATGCGTTTTCGTGATAAAAGTTTGAAATTCTAACAATTTAGGCTTTCGCAAATATGTAGGAAGTTTCCTATATTTTCTTTTTGGTTTGGTCAAATACTGAATTCTTTCTTTGACTGTTTCCAATTGGTTGACTTTGTCCATGTGATCATGTCTTTTCCATGCTAATTTTTCGCTCAAGTTTCCCCAGTTTCCTGGAGGATACCTCGGCTTGACAGGAGGATAACTAATTTCTTCATTTGAATTTTGTCTTGGATCAGCTGCAGACGAATATGTCAACCTTGGTTTGACTAGATAAAGGTGTTTATATCTGTGAAATATTCTGAACTGTTTACATGCTATGGAGGCTGCCATCTTGCTTTTGGACATTCCTAAATTTACGTCAAATGAAACGCAGATTTATATTTCAGATTTTGGTTATTGTTTTTAGTAGTTTAAGAGGTTGCTTTTTATAACAATTCTTTCCTCTTTGATTTTCTATCTTTTAGAGCTGGATAAAGACTAATACAATTGTTTCGTTCTTCAATGAAATTTTGTAGTTTTGTACAAGACCAATGAATTACTTACCTTGAAAATACTCTCTAATTTAAAGAACTAAAATGGTCTCATCGTAACTTCTTGATTGTCAAGACTGAAATTCCTCTCTTTGTTCCATGGAAATTACGTCTGGACAATCTATACTTTGTTTATACTTTTTCCCCACGTTCGAAATTTAGTTTTTCGTCGAAATAAATATTGAATTAAATATCTCAAGATCTCAATAATTGAGTCTGAAAATGGGCAAGGAAAAGAAAAAGAGCAGATATAGATCCAGGTCTAGAGATAGACCTGAAAAACACAATAAACGAAAGAAGGACAGAAGAAGGTAAATACATTGCAACCCCCCTTAATTTAGCTTATAAAATTAAAAACCCTAATAATGTAATAAGACAACTTGTGGCAGATTTTTGCATCACATAAAAAGGTATCTTGTTATTTGGAAGCTGGCATGGACAGCCATATAAAATTCATTTATGCGGGTGATTAAACATGTTTCTTTCTGTTAATTAGGTCATCTTCTGATTCAAGTAGCTCGGATTCCAGTAGATCTCGTTCTCCAAAACATAAAAGCAGTAAACACAAATCCAAAAAACATCACAGAAGACGCAGTGAATCTAGCTCCCCAGATCGTAAAAAGAAAAGGGTGGAAAAGACTAAAGAAGAACTGAGGTAATGAAAAGCCCTGAGAAAGCAAATGATGCTGTAAATTCTGCATTTTATGTTCATTGTACAGTATATGTTGCATAACGAGAATTTTCTTCTGAAAGTATATCACATTTTGTATGAAATAGACTGACACAGAACAGAATGCCCAATACTGATTAAGAAAAAAACATTTGGAAAGGATTTTATTTTTTTGTGAATTTCTGTTCTCACTTTCAACTTGATATTTTATGTTTTCAGAAGAGAAAAGGAATTATTAAAAGCTGTTGAGACACCAGAAGAAAAAAGGGCCAGAAGATTGGCTAAAAAGGTAGCATTTGTTTTTCTTTTTTTAACATGATATTTGAAGTAAAATAAAAAAATTTCGAAACAACATAAGACTCAGCAAACATTTTAGATTTTTTTTTATTTTATCTAGGAATTGAAAGAAAGAAAAAGGAAGGAAGATATGGGATGGGATCAAGATTACTTGGTGAGTAATGAAGTCTTGATTCAAAACTTACATCATTTAGGATGTGCCTTTTGACAAACATCTTTTTGGGAATGTAAAGCGGTTTACTAGTCCTTTGTGTAAATCAGAGCTATTTATGGCTTCTATAAGCTAATGCTATGTTAAGTGATTTCTGTGATTATAGAAGTGCTAAGTTAAAGTTATAAATTATCAGCAGCTTTCGTGCTTGTTATTACAAATAGATCAGTGTCTTGTTACACATATGAAGTGAAGAAAACCTTTAAACAATCTCTTTAAAAGTCACTGCCACATACAAAGCTATTAGGATAAAGTGAGCCACAATCCCATCAATTTATTGATAAAGGGACTTGGTTTAATGACGGCAGTAAATGAAACTTGCTGCAGAGTAAGGTTACAAGGTTTTCTTTATGCCTTTGATGTATTAAAACTATTGATTCATGTTTTCAGGGATATTCGAATGCTGACAATCCATTCGGTGATGAACATTTGATGAACACGTTTGTTTGGGGTAAAAAACTGGATAAAGAAGGAAAGAAAGACATCACCTCTGTAGAGTTACAGAGACATAACAAAATAAAAATGGCTGAGAATCGGGTAAGGAAAAAGGGAGTTGCTTTAAGCACCAGCTTCAAAATAATTTTCCTTTGATTTCCAATTTTCTTTACTAAAAAATTCTATTTTAACTTTGCTTTACAACTATTTTATATACAAAATTACAAAATACACAGTTTTTATTTTCTGTTCTATAATTTGTTTAGAGAGAATTGGAGAAGGTGAAGAAAAGAAGACAAGAAAGAGAAAAACAACTAGAAGAGAGAGATCAAGAAAGGGTAAAGAGTATATACCTTATTATTAAGTCAGTAAAGTTGTTGATGAATAGATAATTCAATTCCTATAAATTCATTTAACTAATTATTAATCTGAACTTGTAAATTAAATCATATTGTATTTTTTTATGTAGGAAATGTTACAGAGAGATAAAGAGGCTGAATATTATAGAGAATGGGAATTGCAGGAAGACAGTGTAAGTTTTCTCTTGATGATTATGAGAATCTTTACGAATTTTACAGTCAGTCTTAATTAAAAATCTGAACTTATAGAATACGATTTTATAAATGACAAAAACAGCTGACTAACTTCTAGTTTATAGAAGTCATACTGAAAACTTAAATTTTGAAATTTTTATTCCAGTTCCATTTAAATCAGGCTAAAATGAGATCACAGATTAGAATACAAGATGGAAGAGGTAGGTTCGTAATGCGCTTCTTGAAAGGATTTCAACATTTTGAAAAGCAATGTCACTTCTGAAAATATTGATAAAGCTTAACAAAAACTGGCAGTTACATGTTCTGTGGTCATTAAACTCATTTAACACTCTGGTGCTTCTATTGTGGTTTTAAAGTCAATTTACACGGAATTTCTTTGATGTCTTTACTTACAAATATATAAACATTTGAAAATAAGTATATATACCAGTATATATATGATATGTCCATATAAACAAGATAATATTAAGTATATGTTTAGAAAATAACTGACCTTCCTCTAGCATAATCAACTGACTAAGGTCTATATGGTTATTATTTCTGATTTTTTCAGCTAAACCAATAGATTTATTAGCTAAATATATCAGTGCTGAAGATGATAAATTAGCTATTGAAATGCATGAGCCATATACCTATTTAAATGTAAGTTGAGAACAGTTTAAATTCTTTTACAAATATTGATAGATCAGCACCCAGTTTTCAACCATGTTCCCTACAAAGTATCAATATTTATAAAAAAAATTATTTGTTTTACTGTTTTATTAAAAGTCATCAGAGAAAATACAACGATTTGTTTGGAATTTTGGAGCATTTTGAACATAAGATAAATAGGTATATTTTGTCATAATATAAGATTCATAGTAAATTATTTTCATACCGATTTACTTTTTAAGTGCCAATTAGGTTTCATACAATCTCAAAGTAAAATAATAGTTTTGAGAGTTACCTGATTATAAACTGTTTACATCCCTGTACCTTATAAGTGCTTCAACTTTCCTAAATATATATACTTATATTTACTGTATTATACAGGGATTAACTATAACTGATCTAGAAGATTTATTAGAAGATATTAAAGTATATTTAGAACTAGAGCAGGGCAAGAACGCTGACTATTGGAGAGATATTATCACAGTAACTCAAGATGAATTGAATAAATTACGTAAACTAGATACCTCTAGTCGCGGTGAGTTTGTTAAAGTAGATTCTTTTTTGCATAACAATTCAAAACAAAATTTGAAAATAACATTGAATTGTTGTTATATTTATAATGTCATGATTTGGAATAACAAAGTCATTGGCTGAGAGAGATAACAATGTTCCAAACCAAGAAATTATGGCCTTTGATTTAAAAATAGAATAAGTTATCTCTAGAAGAAATTAGAGAAAGAATATATTTGAACCAATTCTAGAAAAAATTATCACAATATTTATCTTCTCTTCTAGTTTTTCTCCAATTTTACTAAATAAATTTTCTAAATCAAAATGTCATTATATTTCCTATTAGAATATTATGGAGATAGAAGAGAAGGTATCAATCAAGCTGTATCATCAGAAGTAGCTGATATGTTCAAAGGAAAGTCTACCAACCAATTAAAATTACTAGAAAAACAGATTAAAACTAAACTAGAGGGTGGTGAAGGCATTGATATTGGTAAGCTGAATACTGAATATTTCTCTTTTATTTTCTAGTTTGTATTTTGTTGCTGGCTGACACCAGTGGATGTTAATTTGGTTTGCCTGGTGTTGTAGGTCATTAATACGCCATTGATTTGTTAGTAGTAAATTAAATGAAAAGCACCTGAATGCCTTGCTGTGAGCAATGAGTTAACTTATTGCCAGGGCAGCTTCATATTAAACCTACTCTTTCAATTTCCAACTAGGGATCTTTTTTCTTGCGGAGCACAATTTATTGTCACTTCCAAACAATTACACACTTTTCCCATGTTAACCCCTCTGACATTTATTTGCATGTAGGTTATTGGGAGTCATTATTGCAGCAGCTGACAGCCCACACGGCTCGAACAAGACTTAGAGAACGACATCAGGATGTTTTAAAACAAAAACTACAGGAGTTAAAACGAGAGGTAGGTTTTATCTATAAATGCAGTTTGATTTTAATAAATTTTCTTTTAAATTAGTGTTAGTTGAAATAGAGGGTCCAAAATATTAGTAGATACACAGTTTTCACGAAAGCACTGGCTGTGGCATCAGAATATTCTTACCAAGAGGAGGATTTGAGCCCGTTGCACCTAATCACCTAGTAGAATATGTCAGAAAAAAGCATGACTTTTTGGTACTGTGTATTTTCATTACAGCAAGGGATAGAGCCAGACCCTTTATTTCCTGTTAAACAAGAAGACAGTACTAGTCGTGTTTCAACACCATCACAATCAGAAACTGAAAGTAGACCTGAGGTGAAACAGGAAGTAGAAGAGGAACAACAGCCGTCAACATCACAAGTCAACACGGAGAATGTTGTAGTGAAGGAGGAGAAACAAGATGGAGATCAGGAGGAAGCTAACGAGGCTGAAGAAGAATCTGAGTAAGTTAGACTTTAGTTTTATCAAAAGTGAAGGGGCTATAGAGATAGAGATATGGAGGAAAAAGGGAGAGGATAAAGGGCTGGTATCATGTGAAGCCGAAGTTGAAAACTTGACATTAATGTCAATTATGATCTGTTAACTATTTTCTGTTCAATCCCTATCCTGTCTATTCCAGTGAAGAATTGATAACAGAAGCTGATCTAGAACAGAGTTTTATAGATGAATATGAAGTAGGGTGTTATTCACCGAAACTAATCAAACCCTCAAACCTGGATATTGATGCTGTAGTGTACGAACCAGTTGATGACCTCCAGAAACTACAGTTAGCTAGAAGTCAAGTTCTTAGTACTGGTAAAGTCAGGGTGAGAATTGGAATCTGTTTTAAAGAATTTAATACACTTGCTCATTATGTTCTTCTGAATATATATAGACAGACTGAAGCACAGATGGCTTGATCATTAGAATTTGATGTCATTTGCTTGGTTATGTCGAACAAAGGGTGGTTGTGGGTTCTAATCCAGGTCAGTATGTGAAAGTCTGGTAATCACATACAAGTTAAATTTTTCTCATTTTCAAGTCAATCCAGCTATAAATTGCTATGGTTAATCTAAGAAAGATCCATGACAAAAAGTCAATTCAAGGACCAGCTAGTGGAAAAGATCTGAAATCAAGTTGTAATCCTTGTCAAAATGGTTGTTTTTATCTTTTAAGTGGATTTCTCTTTCCTTCCTTCCAGTTGGATGGTGAGACAGAGTTTGAGAAGAAAGCCAGAGAAGGGATGAATGATGATGAGGCCACATTCAGTGTCGAAGTAGCTTTGGACAACCAGGCTTTCTTATGGTCTGATAAATACCGACCTCGTAAACCACGATTCTTTAACAGAGTCCACACGGTAAGTTTTCTTATAAGAAGGATTATAAAAGGTTGATCAGGGATTATTTAATAGAAGACTGTAACCTAGAGAATTTGTTATCATTGAAGCTTCATTCCTTTCTTACAGTTACATTAAAATTCAATGTAGAAACTTTTCAAACTTTATTTATAATTTTTTTCAGGGTTTTGAATGGAACAAATATAACCAAACTCATTATGATATTGATAATCCACCTCCAAAAATTGTTCAGGGATATAAATTTAATGTAAGTTAGACCACATAGTTTTATTTCTCTGAAAGCATCGATCCTATTTCAATAGAGCTCCTTGATTCTTGCAATTTTGCTAAAAATTTTGGGGCTTATGACATCGCAATCGCTAAGGCTGCTAATAATATCTAACTGATAGAAAATAAATGTAGTATAGAAAATGAAGTTAATAACCTGTTTTGTTTTGTTGTAGATCTTCTATCCAGATCTAATAGATAAAGCTAAAACTCCAGAATATACAGTAGTAAGTTATTATGCTTTACTCTCTTTTATCTCATTAATTTCAACTGTCAATATCTGAGGACATTTTAATACTATGCTTACTAGATTTATATTCGAGTCATTGAAGTCTTCTAGCTCCTATGCAGTGAATTTGATAGGTTTACTATCTAAGTCCTTCATAAATGTTGAATGCTTTAGATAGATTGTCCTGATACTGGATGTTTTATCTTTTATTGGGTCCGTCGGATAGACTCATGATAATCTAAGAGGTTTTTCATGTTTATAATAGCTTGGTTGATGTTTTTTCTATTTCAGACACCCTGTGAAAACGAGAAAGATTTTGCTATATTAAGATTTCGTGCTAGTGCTCCATATGAAGTAAGTGTTATACTCATATCCATAATTTTTAATTGAGTGCAACTATTTGTAAATTCCCCTTATCATGTTTGGAATTGCCACAGCTCCATAGACCTTACACATGTAGGGAACGAAGCAAGCATATTGTAGGGTTGGAGACTGCTAAACCCCTTGAAGCTGAAAGGTTTTTATTATAAATCAATAAAGTGGCATGTGGGGCCAGCTGAGAAACTCTGAACTTAAGTATTTTTAATTCTTATCTTTCAGGATATTGCGTTTAAAGTTGTAAACAGAGAATGGGAATATTCGTATAAAAGAGGTTTCCGTTGTCAGTTTCAGAATAATATATTTCAATTATGGTTCCATTTTAAACGTTTTCGATATAGAAGATAGACAGTTTATTGTGTTGTATATATTACGTAAGATGTACAGTTGTATATATTTTGTCAAAAAAAGATTTTATATACCACAGTCTGTTTGTTTCTTTCAAGAAATAAGAATTTCGATCCAAATTTCTCTGCGCTTGAATTTATGGAAAGAATTTTTGAAAAACAAGGTCCTGGCCACGTGTTCTCGAAACAATCTTAGGGCTAGGATGTCCTAGATTCTTATCTTCTGACATTGATTCTAGGACATCCTAGCGCTAAGATCGTTTCGAGAATACGTGGCCAGGTGCCCATTCTCCATGAGCACTTGGGAATTTGTTGTCTGTATTGTGTTAGATTTGGTGTTGCGAACACTCCAGATATGATAAGAGGCCTTAAATTTGATATGAAACAATAACACTTGATCGTAAAGAAAATATGTTTATCAGCTTTCATATAAATCTTCACATTGTGAAATCAATGACAATAAATGGGCTGGATTATAGGGAAACAAGTCTTGATTTACCAGTCTTTCTATCTGGATTCTCACATGTATCAATAAACTCATCACATGATCTAAACACTTCATGTCACATGACATACTGCTGGATACTGTTTGGATAGATTCGTATTTTGATCTGTCACATGATATTATATCGCCCTCTGATTGGATAGATGCCGATTTTGAATTGTCACATGATATATCAGTTTCTGATTGGATAGATGCTGATTTTGAATTGTCACATGATTTAAAACTCGTATCCAATTGGCTGTGTTTTGAAATACTGCTTTCTGATTGGATGGATGGATTATTTTCATTTCATCACTGTCGCTATCGCTATATGCCATAATGGCTGACAAGCCTTGACTAAGGGAGGCAATTTGGTCTTGAGAAGATCCTTCACTATTAGTCTCTGCGACGGTTTCACTAACTGGGCCTTTACCGACCAGATTTAGGTCAATTTGCGTGCCTTGGTTGGGAGTGGCTACTTCATCTTGGACTTTCCCTGCATAATTGTACCCCTTTTTATTTTTACACAATGTGTTGGCAATTGAATCATGTCCACAATTTTGGGGATATCTATCATGAGCAGCCTTCACAAACAAAGTCCATTCAGAAAGGATTACTTTTAGAAGTCTGGATATATAGAGTAAAAAACATGTTTCAGGGGAGACAAGCCAATCCATTACTATGCTTGTATCGAAATCAAAAGTTTCTAAAAACTGGAAGAAGAGTGGGTAAGGACTGAAAAGGGGATCTCTGCAAAATAAGTTAAACTTTTATGAAAACAAGACTTAAATTTTATACATAATAGGCCCTGAATTTGATCTTAGTTCCAATTGTGTAAAGCAGGGCCCTATTATGTACAGAGTATCCCTTTCGGATGACCCACAGTTAAATTAACTAGTTTCTAGTTTTCTTGCTTTTAAGGATTTGAATCTAGAGTCCTGGATAACGGAGCACACCTGCTAAAATATCCAAGTTACGCTGTGAATTAATGGGGTGGCATGTAAGCGCTGTTCAAATTTTTCTTTCTTTTGATATCAAGATAACCAGACTGAGCTATTCCAGTGTCATTGTTTGTTTTCAATCAGATAAAAGTTTTAATACTAACCTGTCTGAAATATGTGTATCTAAACAACATAATAAACATTCTATATAGGCATCATCTTGCTCTTCAAATACCACATATAACCAATTTAATCTTTCTACTGTTAAACTGTCATCATTAGATAGATTGGTGCTCATTTTACTCAGGAGAACTTTTATCTTTGACACCAATTCTAAAAGATATCAAACACCATCATTCATTGCTTTCAAATTTGAATTTTGCTAGGGTTTACAAAGTTATTTCTCCAGTGTATAAGGCAGTAATAAAAGTTTAGCAGTTTACAATTACCTGACATTTGTAGTACATTAACATTTTGTGATTAAGGAAGTTTTGGTTTGTTCTAGTTAAACTTAAGAACTTGGATTGTGTTCCTTATCTTTATAAATGAAAATGTAAGAAAGTAAACTATTTTACCTGCAAGGCAGCCATTGCTTTTCATCACCACAGCAACAGCCTTAAATACAACCAAAACAAATCTTCTAGTTGTGGGAAAGTCAGTGATAGACTGTTCTGTGATGCCACCCATAAAACCATCATGACGTGTCTTCAATTTAAAACTTGTTTCACTATTGCACACTTCATTCAAAAATCCCAAATAAAAGTCATGATAAAATTCGTTTATTTTTTTCTGTAACACTAATTTCTCACTGTAGCAGAGTAGGGTATTGAAAAAATTCAAGAGTTTTCTGGTTGAAATATTTTCTTCAGAGGACTGTAAATTTTTCAGTAAGATTTGAACCCATTTAATATGATTTCGACTGAAAATTTCCTTCAAAAGTTCCACGTAATTTGGTTGCTGATTTATGTATTTAGTCACTTTTACTAATAATGTGTAAAAGTCGTGGGCGAAATCGAAACACTTTAAATGCATTGATGCTACATAAAAATTCCAGGAAGATTTTTCTGAAGAATTTCAAACGCTACTTTGTTAACCATTTCTCCATTTTTTCTTGACATAACTTGACTGAATAGTTGTAAGATTATCTTCATTTCTTTCGGTGAATCTGGTATTTTTAACTTTTCACAGAGTGCATTCAAAATTCGGGATTTGTCGGTGTCCTGAAAAGAAATAATTTCAATTTTAACTCATTTTATTACCCTTAATATTCTTTAAGGAAGGTTCTTGGTAATTTATACAGTTAAAGCTAAAATTATGTGTATTGTTGCCATTTATGGCTTCTATTTGACTCCCATTTTTCCAGGTGTCTATAGTACCTGTAATTATAGAAATGCTTAACCATAATTGACTTATGCAAAAGTAGCTATGGCACCTAAGGGCACGTTTAGATGCAGTGTCCAACAAAAATAAAGAGTTTGAAACCCTTTTACAGCCTCTTTAAGATGGAAAACAGCCCTTATCCTAAAATGTTAAATTAATGTAATAGGGAGGCATACATACTGATACGTTATCTGATTTTATTACAACCACTAGAAATTTTTGAGTTGAATATCTTATGAACTCATCTTTACTGAACATATTCTTCATCTGAAAAAGAATCCCAACATACATATTATGCACAATTACAAGCCTAGTATTTGTTATCTCCAAAATAGGCCTATGAAATTAATTAACAATTGATATTAACCTGCAAGTTGCTGGATTCTTCTTTAGAGATGATCTACAGAAAATCCCAAAACACTGCCATTTTCGTCCTTAAGACCAAAGTCACTGCATGACTGTATCTGATCTATCACTCTCAGACATAACAGACAAGAGAACTTACCAAGACTGGTTCCAAAGCTGTGAAAAACTGACTACAGCCACTTCCACATCCACTTGGGATTTCAAACATCATTTTAAGGACAGTCAGAGCCAGTAACTGATGACAATGCAGGCATCTTGAAGGGAATTTCTCACACTGTCCAATTTCCAAGCCTAAGAGCACTTTTAATTCTAGAGTCAGTTGTTTTGATTCATCAGTTGATGTATTGAGAGGGCTCCCTGACAATATTTGCTGATGAAGAGACTTTAATCTTAGCCATCTGCACTCCATTGGTTCAAGTGTGGAATGGTCTTCAACTGTAGAATCATTAGTCTATTGGTCTTGCAACAGTAGAATTAAACTGTTGTTAGGCTTCTAGATAGTATTTCAAAATATCCAAGCATCATACATTGATAAATGCCTATGTCTTGCTTGTAGACAGTAAGTTTAAACTCTGAGATTGAATTAGGGAACAGTTAAATGAAAGGCAAGGAAGGGAAATTCACAAATTCCTAAACAACGTCCATTCAATGATTGAATATCAACATGGCCTCAGTCTAATGCAAAATATCTACGACTCAAAGTTCACTAAGGATCAGAAAGCAATATGTTTAATGTAGCAATTGGTTACATGGCAAAAACCGACTTTGCAGGACCGGTATTCCCAATGGTTTGGCTCAAGATATTTTATTCACAAGAAAGGCTATTTATTTGACAACCTTTCCCCGCAATATTTTTATCAGTTTTTTTACTTCTATACAGAAGAGTACAACAAGGGAGATTATAGTCAGGACTTCAGACAACAACTAAACCTTCATATATGATTTTATAGTATAAATAAATGCTTTGTTCTTTCAAAATATACAGATAAAAATTTTAATTTGAGATGGACAATATCACAACTTTCATAAATTTTATCAATTCCACATAACAAAAAACATAATAAACAATTCAAATAAAGTGTAGGCCAGTAATATTCTTTACATTCTATTGAATTATACTAGCCAGAACTATGTATCTAGACTTTCCATCACAAAATAACAGGGAACTGCTACTGGTTGTACAAAAATAATTGACTATCTGCACTATACATAAAAGAGAAAATAATGCTATGCTAATATTTAAAGCCCAATTTTTTTTTTGTAAAAAATTGAGGTAGCTCTTGTTCAATGAGTTTGCATTAATTAAATAAATTTTCTTGATGAATTCTCATTGGATAATATAGCTCAAACAAAAACAGGCCAATGAGATTGCTTAAAACATTAATTTATGATTATCATCAATAACTTCTAATACAGATTCTTGACTTTTTCGTTCCTGAGTGTGTTGTAAAGATTCTTCAATTTGTACTCTTGTAACCCTAGCAACCACAAAAATAACACAAAATATGGTTGTATATAATTCAATGGCATGGAAGCCATCAATAAAGTGATTAATATAACTTGGACACTTTGTGTTCAATGCCAGGTTTATACCGCTTCATTTTCAGATAGTTAGCTGAGAGTTATTGTAAAGATGAATATGTAAGGCATTATGAAAGCAAAATGTTCAGAGAGTTAAAGAAAAGATCTATGCTGCCTTTATATGCATCAAACTATTGCAAATATTTCTTCTTCAAGTTCCAGCTTTTAGTTTCTTGGCTCCAACAGCTGAAAATACAAGAATACTGGGTTTTCTCTCACTAATTTGATGAGAAATTCAGAGAATATGAAAATGACAGAAGATTTCTTCTCCTGATTGGGTTTATGAAGATGGATGTAGATGATTCCTCTTAAATGAACTCTTTACATGAGGTATATTTTCCCCAACTGAATACCATATAACTGCGAATATAACGCGCATCCCCTTTTTAAACTTTAGTAATATTTGTACTCTCTCGTTATTCATGGATTGTATAATCAATACATCTGGTGCCTGAGATTTAACATTTATAAAACTTCACCTCCAGATTCATGTGTTCCTATGACAACAAGATGATTAATCAATACAAATACCTTTAACATGGCAGACCTCAGCGTCCACTCCTATCTTTAATAAATAACTTAACCATAAAATCTGTTTATGTGACAGTCTATCTCCTGGCCCTTTAACTTCTACAATCTACAACATAAAGTCAAATAATTCAAATTACTTCAAAGTGATCTAACAAGGCTATAGTAATTCTGTGTTGAACATACTTGAATAGCTACGAAGAACCATATGGAATTGCTTTCATAGACCACAATACACTTTGAAAGCATGTGGTTAGGTCACAGAGCTACAACATATTTCCTTTGCCTCAAAGTTCAATTTGTGTCTTTCCTGATTTTCTTTCACTTTCAAGCTTTAAAAACTGCATAAATTGGTGCACACTGTCCTTAAAATACAAAGATCAAAACGCTACTTAGAATTGTGTTAGGATGCAGTGTGCCAATTAAAATAACATAATATGTGACAAATTCCTACCTTAAATGTTTTATTTTCAGTATTCCAGATAGTAAGATCAGGGAATCCGCTTCGAGTGTGGCGAGGATCTTTAGCGTAGCGTGATAGAATACCAGATAATAGTTTACCTCCAATACAATCTATTAAACCCTGGAATCACATAAATATATACCAGTATACCAACTTTCGGCGTTGAAACTTTAGACAAGGAATTTTAACACGTTTTTCTGGGCTATCTGATATAGACATACTGAATTAGGAAGTAAATGTCTGATTGGCTAGTAATACAGATTTAGAGATATAAACTACTGTAGACCTCACCTGTATATATTCAATACTCTGTAATCTCTCCCAGTTTATACCAGCACACGTCTTATCACAATTCTTTTCCCACGTCTCTCTACTTCGTTCATTTAGTTCCTGAAATTTATCAAATAAGATACATACAACTCCTCTAGTGGCTGTCACACCATAGCAATCACCAGTTGCATATTAATGCAAATAAGAATAGAGGACATAAATTTCGAACGCATCTCATGACCACTTTCATTATTCACAATCACACGCAACTGGTAAATGCTATGGATTGAGAGCACCGTAAACAGCCATTTAGATAGACAAAAAACTAATGAACATGCATCAACTACCTATATCTATCAAGAACAATCTTATTCACCTGTGAAAAACCTAAACACGTACCTCGGTAGTACTATTTTCAAGCCATTCCAGTCTATCATCTATTTCAGTTTTCCGTCGTTTATAAAACTCGAGACTCATTTTATCCAGTGGATTAGTCTGATAGAAACTATGGAAGGCGTCTGGTACATCCATAAATAATATATCCCAGAAAAACAGAGAGAACAGGGTTGAGATGATAGCTCCTTCTGCATGTAAACCTGAAATAATAAGAGTTTGATACTGATATTTGTCAAGTATTTAGGAAGAGTAAAAATTGTTTTGGTATGTAAATTTTTTTTAAACTATGTTTATTTATTGATGTAGATGGTATAAACAAGACAAGAAAATACATAAAATGGCTTTACATTTAACACAAACTTATATTTGTCACCTCAAAATGGAATCAAATTCACTTTCTTTCTTCAGATCTATTAATATTTTTACTTCTAACTACTTATATGCATTTTCATTATTAATTAGTTAAACCACCAACCTTCTGGATAATCTTGTTTATAGTAGTCTAGAACAACCTGTTCCACATTACACATAGTGACTTGTTCATCCAGTCCCTTACCATTAAAATACGAGTCTTGAGTCATAAACTGATGTCTGACACCAGGAAGACTGTATGGTATTATTCTTCCTTCAACTGTCGTCTGTTAAATATATTTCAAAACAATTAAATCAATCTTCTTTTGAAACGTAGGTTCTTGATCATCAATTTTACCATGTGGGTATATCATAAGTTTACCGATAATCCAGGAAAGATTAGTGACACAAGGTTTAGCCAAGGAACTGCTGTAGAGATAAGATCCTCATGAACTTGTTGTTTTTTTTCTTTCATATAGACTGATATTGTTTGCTTTTGTCCTCTTTTTTACCAATTAAAAATTTGATACAATACCTTCATGTCATATTTCTTAATCTGATATTTATACATTTTCAATATTTCTAAAACAAATTGATAACGTCATTATTACCTTAGGTGCCACTATAACCTCTTCATGTGTAAATTCAGTCAATCTATGTTTTATCTTTAAACTGGTCGTTTGACAGATTTTCTCAGCTCGTTGATATAAAGCTAAACGATGACCACCTCGAACATTTTCATCCGCCATTCCTTTCTTCACTAACTCCAGAGCCTGTGGATGTAAAATATCAAAAGATAGCATGTCTGGCAAGGTAATGCACACAAAATGATATGGATTTAGTAAAAAGAATCCCCTCAAATCTGAAGATTAAATCGTGCTGACAAGAAATGTTGACAGACAGGCCTGCAGAACAGCAAGGAAAGCAGGAAATGTTGTTTACCTCCTGAGGTTTTTTTAGATGAGTGCCAAGATTGAGAACTCGTCTCTCCCACCAGTAACCATGGTAATCTAAACAATATATCTGTTGCTGTAGTAACGATTCTATGAGTTCAATGGCACCATGATAATCTTTACGGCGTTGTAATATCTCGATGCCTTGACTCAATATTCGAACAAGTTGATATCCCACTGTATATCGACGTAGGAAATCTGGTAATTTACTCTCAAAACTGGAAATGAAGAAAATAAAAGTATATGCCCTATCTTTCTGCAACTATAGAACTTGTTCATGCCTCGTTTTTGAAACACTGAAAGCGAGGTTCTATATGCAAATTATGTCTTCTAATAAAAAGATGGCAACGTCATATAAAGGACTATTGGGCTTATAAAGATTGGTAAACGCCTTTGCATTAAATGAATTTCATGTCCTACTTTTCTGCACCTATTGGGCTAATAAGGACAGGCAAATGTCACACGGTGTGCAAAGCAATTTTGCCAGAACAGCCACATTTCTTTGTCAAGGGATCTATAGTGTTAACAGCAGACAGCGCCTCAGTTTATTGTCACTTTAACCTCGACTGTCATCTCTTACATTACAGTCAATCAGAAAAATGATACATCAACGGAAGCTTACGTTTTTTGCTTTTTTGGTATTTTACTAAATTCTTGTTTCACTACTAAATAAAGTTGATATGCATCTTCCCATTTTGATTTTTCTGTGAAGTTTATCATGTCTGCTTCATATTGTAATGCCTTCTCATACCTGAAATTGTCCTTTCATTGAGTGAGAACAGTATTTGGCAGAATGAGCCCAGACAATGGTCAGCATTGGTCAGGCTAACAAATGAGAACCAAAATATTGAAGGCTAAGCTGTGTTCAGGAACATAAGTTGTTTCCCCATAATTTTATTTTATTTTATTTTCAGTCCAAATAATGTGCAGAAAAATATGTAATAAATTAACACTTACAATAGAACATGTTGTCTGTCAGGAAATATCTGGGTCTGTTTGTTTATGGTGTATTCTGGATAGATAACTTTACCCATATTTACCATCAACATCTGAAACCTGCAGAATCAAACAGGACAAATTTTAAAATATTGCTTGCGTATACATGTCTTTTCCGTACAAAATGTCTTAAATAATATGAATAAGTCAAGGGAGATAATTGAAAAAATGTTAAGCAAAATATCATCAATTTCAAACTCATCCACGAAAGTTGTCATTTAAAACATGGTCTTGCTCGACAGTTACAAACAATTCTTAAGGAAAATAATCCTTGAAAATTACTTACAAATTTCAGCACTAGCATATTCTATTTTCATGAATATTGATGTCATTAATAATGGAATAAGTTTTTGAATTATTAAGGAAAATAACATTTGAAAATTACTAACAATTGACTTTGTCCACCATTAGCATTATCTTCATCTAGGACAGAAGTTACAACAGAAAACAGCATTAAAACTCGTACAAATACTTTTCTTTCCTCGTCTTTTAATTTAATACATTGTCCAGCATGTTTCTTAGCCCTACAATAATAAGATCTAAATTCTAACGGAGATAACGGTTAAAAACCACTCTCAAATCGAGAGTGATGTCATTAAACGCTTAGTTTGAGTGAAATTGTAAATACTACAGACATCCGACTGAAAATTGGAATAGTTTCAATAAATGTTATAAGTGTCCCCGATAGACATAAAAAGTTTAGAAAACCTCTTAAAAATTCCTTTAAACATAAAAAATTAATGGAAACTTCCAACATACTTGCTCAACATATCTTTAGTTAGACCACCTTTAGCTCCAAACATAGCCTCAATGGTTGTCTGTTTAGTTTTCTTGATGAGATCTGCTACGATCTGAGGTTTTGGCTGTCCTGAGTTAACAGAGTAGTTTTTAGCCAGTTGTTTTAATTTTGGGGCTGGCAATATCTTTAATGTTTCTTCAAGATCATTTAGATCAGATTCTTAAAAAGAAATTATTACTAAAGGTCAAAATTGAAATTTGTAAATATGATACTTACAAGACAAATTTTCCTAGAAAAATTTTCAGATTTTTCACTCTGTTTCACCCCTACATTAAGGAGTAGTAGATCTCTTTCAAAGGTGCAAAAACTCAAGACCCAAGACCCTTTGTGCTTCAGACTCTGTATCTTAAAGATCTCCTGACAGTTATTTCTCTCATTTCATGGCACAAGTCTTAATGTATGGATGAGTTGAAACTGGGACATGAGAATCCATTTTATTTCAGTTTCCTGAACCTACCTGAATGTAGAAAGTCTGCATCAATCAATTCCTGAATAACCTCAGTTAAATCTGCTGATATTTCTGGATATTTGATTTTATCACAGTTCAACCATTGTAATTTTCTAGAGAATAATCGTACATATAATTTCTTACCATTCTCTGAAAAGATATAACATTAATATTTTAGATAAACAGAAGTTCTGTGTGGACTATGGTGAAGAAAAACACATGCTCGAAATTCAATTCATAATAATACACTCCTTAAAAAATAGAGGATTTATCTGAGAGAAGCTGGATATATCTGATTTTAAAAGTGGGAAATTAAATGGAGTACTGTGCCTTATTTTTCTGCACATGATTGGGCTACACCATGCAATGTGCAATGAGGGAGTATTACCAGGAGCACAGCATAAGCTACACTTCTCTGATTTCCAACTGCCAAGGGATCATTAACACGCGCAGCCTGTAGCACTCCGTCTCAAAAAACAAAGAAATAAACAAAGTACCTGAAAGAATTCTAAATTGATCAATAACTTTCACATCAGCTTTATTAAATAAATTTACATTGCTTTCATCTTCCATCACAGAATTCAAAATGGTGGTAAAATTCTCTAAATAATATGGCACTTTGTATCCTTCTTTTCCATTTTCTTCCTCATTTTCTTCTTCTGCAAGATTTTGTGAATCATTGACGCCATTTTTTGATGATTTTTTGGTACTACTGGATTGGCCTCTATTGGTTCTTGTTGGACTACTGTTAGATTTTGCAACCTTTTGAATTCTGTTTGGTTTATCAGTCTTGGTTTTAGTGGAATTTTTCTCTTCGATGTTTTTTAACGAGTTCTTGTCCTTGGAAGATGTTCTTTCATTTTTGGAATTCATAGTTTTTTCTATCATTTCATCACATGAAATCTGTGGCAGCTCATTAGAACTATTAGAATTTTCATCTTTGTTGTTGTCAATGAGGCCATTTGTCGATTTTTGACCTTTAATTTGAAATTCTTGTTCAGTTTTTGTGACGTCTGAATTTGAACTGGAGAAACTCTCTGAAGATTCAATTTGATCTCCATTGCATAACCTATCTTTGTAATGGTTTGAATCGTTGCATATTGAATCTGAAGTTGTTAAATTTCTAGCATCACTAATTTCATCTTTTTTCCCATTCTGAATATTGGAATCAGAATCAGTTCTGTGACCAATACCAACAGAAGTTTCTTTAATTCTGTTCTTTGATTTTGACTTTGAAAGTCTCGTCTTTTTACTGGAACTTGATGAACTCTCTGCATTTTTTTCATCAAAATATAATTTGTTATTTGAGGATTCAGGTTTGAGATGGCTACAGTTTGACAGTCTTTCTGTTGGAATTTTCACTGGAGAATCAGACAAAACTATCACGGAATCATCACTTTTTGGACTTCTCTCAACTTTCGCTGACAATTTTCTTAAACTCAATTTACGTTTCTTAATACCATTGGGTTTGTCACCTTCATCTGTACTGGCACCATCATTTTTTTCTGGTGTGGCTGATTGCATTTCAGAGCTCTTTCGTTTGAAATATTTGGATTTGGATTCAAATTTAGTGATTTGTACAAAATCATCATCGTCATCATCATTGTCACCTTGTTTTAACCAATTTAAAGTGTTTTGTTTTGCGAACATAGACGCAACAGTTTGAACCTTTTGAGGATTTGTCTTGGATTTCCTACTTTTGTTAGACTTTGATTTTGGTGAAGGCATGATTACTAGAAGGGTCCATTTATCTTCAGCTGAAAAAGATTAAGTTAATAAGTTACATTTATCTTTGGTTAAACATTTCTTTTGGTATTTCAATGAACGAGCTTTGAAACACATAAATAATTGTCTAACCAGAAATAAGTAAGGTAGCAGATATAAATTTTAAAACCAAGGGAGTAAAACAATTGCTTTTTTATTTTATCATAAGCGATAAGGTTTCTTTTAAAATATAGAAAACACCTTAGACTCACAGGAATCTGTTTCTATCAATAAATAGTCGACTCTCTCTATAATAGAGTCGACTATTACCATTGATAGAAACAGATGCCTGTGCAAACTATAAAGGCTATTGGGAAAAAGGAATGTAATGTCTACATGCATGAACCGTGTCACCATCACTGTTCTCTACAAATAAACGAAAGAAAAGTTCAAAATTTTTACATTTTTAGTTTTCAAGATGAAAAATAGAAGTACCGGGCTGAACTTAGCTTATACATTCAACTAGCATACAGATTCGGGTCAAATCGGGCCGAATCGTCTCAGCATACACATTCGCGGCAAATCGACCTGATATGAAATCTGAATTATTTCTAACTTAAAATTTTTTATGACAAATACACATAAGAATTCTTTCAATTTTGCAAACACCTATATGTCTAACTCTCTTAGTCTTTGTACTGTGGCCCATTTAAAATATAATATTTTTTTTATGGAAGCTGAAAATTACCAAAGTTAAACAGCAAATTAAAAGGCTTAGCCGTCATAGAAACTTTTTGAAATCCATACCATTATCTCAATTCTCACACTTGTCATTATTAGAAATATCAAATCACTAAGTTGCTGTCTCCCTTACTTTTTGTACGGAGGCCCATTGAAGACATACACTAATCGACATATATATGGCCTATATGAGTATATTACTCAGAGTTTACGGAAATTTGCGATTCTTATCCGACGTAGGAACTTATTGCTGATAATGGGAACTGATAGAACCTCCTGGAACTTCTAATATTGCTCTCAATTCCATGGGCATGATGGGTTATTTGTCAGTGACCACTAATAATTAAATCATATCAATTGATTTTGTAGTGTTATTATAACTTAAAATTTGACGTCACCCTTTGATCTCGATGTACCATTATCCAACATTTAGTTCACTAACATAACTTTACACTAATAAACATAAATATTATAAATGTGTTCTAAAATACTTGAGTCATTCTGCTCCTTATTTGTACCACTCGTCTCGATCGTAGCAAAATTTCGTACAAACAACCCGCC